GCCAAAAGAACTTTACGAAGACTTACCTTCCAGTCGCCCCACCAGTCGGCCAAGCTCCGGGCTGCGGTATAGTCTGCCGTCGGAACATAAAAATTCGCGTCAGCTCGAAGCTGGGCCAGAGCAATGGCCGTAATGATGGCTTTGTGCGCGGCCGCACGTGCACAACCTGTTACAGGATACACGCGCCTCGGTTTTCGGACACGGACCACATGACGGGGCACGCCGATCCTGATGCTGATGTCATTGTGGTCGGCAGCAGGACCCGGTACCGACATAGCAACGCCTCGAATCCAATCAGCATGCCGCGAGCTCACATACCACCTATCGAGTCGCGAACTCGCCAAACCTCCGCCCGGAAGCGTGTAAAATAAATGTGAGCCGCCGCGTGAAATTCCGGTACATATCTCGCTCATTCGGTGATCTCCATGTCATCACCAAGAACATCACAGAGCTACGCTCGACCGAGAAGCAGTCGCAAAGACAAAAAATTGTGTCTTCCGGGTGATGATACAAATGAACGGTCCAGTCGCGGCTCAAAAGTACAGTCGGAGTCTCCTTTAACAAATTGGGTTCCTTCGTAGTCCTGTAGAAGAAGTAGAAGGCACTCAAACAGCGACTCCCGTTCAGTCTTGACACTTGGTGCATACATGTTGACAATCGAAACTGTTTAGCCCAGGAGAGTGATCCGAACAGCCATCCAGTGCGGCGTTTAATGCGCCTCAGACCTCGAAACCATTTCCGCGATCGATGAGTAAGGGTTTTAAAAAATTGACACTCCACCTTTAGATTGCTCTAACTCTTTCCACAACGAGCGTCCACGCTTGTGCTTCAAACCCCCAGTAGGAGTTGTAAAGATTTTCATAGCTTTTTATTCATCTATAGTGACTCGCGTTTCCTGTAGAAGAACCAAATTGATGGTTCCCCTAGATTATCTCTGTCGGTAGTGATTAAACTAAGATGCGCAGTGTTCCGGATGCTTGGGAAATTTTGCGATATTCTGCGAATTGAGACCGACGCTGTTGTTGCGCAACTGATGGACCGTCTCCATCAGGAACCTAAGACGACTTTAGGGCGTGCACCGAGGCGGCGCACCTTCTAGCTCATTCGAGCTCATTCAGCATTGCGTTTCCAACAGTTACCATCGTAAGCGATAAGGTCATGCGCCGGTTGCCAGTTGGCAAGTTTGCATAGAATGTCGACGACCGCTGCGCGCACCTCTATCGAGAGGTAGTATAGCACAGCATTCGTTTGTGGCATTACCACGTCCTTCTCAATATCAATGGGTGCAAGCTTTGATACCAAAACGCACAGCACATTGAGGACTCCCCAATGATTCAAGTAACTAACCGATTCGACGACAGTCGCGAACAGCAAATCAGGCTGTAGTTTGCTAAATCGTCGCCACCGTTGGATATTGTCCGTCGTTCGCCATCGAATTTGACCGGTTTGCCCATCCGCCGTGGCGGCCCAACCCGTGCACAGATCGTGGAGTTTCGCATCGGCGTGTGTGGTGTGAAGCCGGATCACAGCCAGATGAGATTCACTGTTGATGGCATGTCCAAAGGAACGCAGGGTGTCACCCGGCATCGAGGTGAGATAAGGAATTGGATACGGTGGACCAGAGACGAGTATCGCCAATTCTAAGGCACACGTGCTTATCCACGCCACTTGTCCCTTTGGTCCAACTGGCATGGTAGCCGGAAATTTCGCAACAGCTTTGTGCCGGATGACCCATTTGCGGATCGCAGCTGTGTTCGCTGAAAGTTGTTTCATACTCTCCGGCTCAGTAGCATCCGCCACCGCAGGAGATGCAGTGTCTGAAACTTCGCGTACTCGAATTGCACGTAAAATCTTGTCGTGAGTATCGGGAGCACGAATGTGTGCCACCGGGGACTGGGCCGCTACCACCGAACATAGATCGCCCGTGCTAGCGACCGGACAGTTTGGCGAGCCAGAAGCACCCGTTTTCGGGGTCGTCGAGTAATCCAGACGAAGCCTTGAGCTCTTCATCGATCGCATTGGCCAGATCCGCTGATAAAGGTACACGAGCGGCACAGGGAGGTGGAGTCTAGCCCCTTCATCCAGATCATGTAGGCACATGGTGGCACCAAACGCAACCGTTCTCTCCGCCATCTCAATATTGAGATCCTGTGAATGATGACCGTCCGACTCCTTGGAGAACGTCGGTGGAAGGTTCGACGGTCCAACTAAATGAGGATGCGCCGCTAACGGCACCGTTCGAGGTGGTGGTTCTGGAGGCCAACTTGTTTTACCCCGTTTGCGGCGAATGTAAGAGGCCATCAAACGCTGGACTTTGGACCGACTCCTCTCTCTGCATCTTCTCGCCATTGCAGCAGGCAACTCGTGGGGTGGTGTAATTTCTCGCGAAAACTTGACTTCGGTCATGAGCTTCTTCTTCGGTGTATCGTTGCCAACCGGCGGGTAGAGTTTTAAGTGTTGTGTTTTCACTGCGGTCTTTCCATCCATGTTCGCTCGGGTTGCCACTGCACCCGCGGTACGGTATTCGTACTCCAACCGCCTCAATTCTTCACTGTCGTCGTCGAGTGAGGCAAGGACCAAATTACCCTAAGTATCAATAGATATAGCTTCTTTGACTGCCTGAGCATGAGCTTTGAAGTGGCATGATTTCTTGGTGTCTGCAGTGCGCTGCTTTTCTGCGGCTGCGCAACTCATTTCCTCGGCCTCTTTTCGTGCGGCCGCTACGTGTAATTGAGCCGACTCAAGCGCCGTCTCCTTTAATGCCTTCGGAAGAAGAGACAAGCCGTCCCCCGGGGCAGTAGTTGGAACTGCGGCAGCAACCGCATGATATCCACGCAGTAATTGGTCCAGTTCCCGAATCGTCCGCGTGCGCGGGTTAATAGCCTTGATGGGGGCAGAGGGCGTTGGCGCAGATTGGACAATTTTCGAAACGTTCTTCTGAGTGTTGATGGGTGCACTGTCAATGCACGGTCAACAAAGCCAACTGTGATATGCTACGCACAAGTGACAAGACAGCGATGATACGACAGGGTGTAAACGGTTCACGTGCAGTCTGATGATTCTAGAACTACCTTGAGTGTATGTTCTAGAATCCATCAAGATCAGGGAAAGCTACAAGGTAGAAGAAGATAACACGACGAGTAAGTTCATAGGAAAACTAATTCAATACACTTTCCAATTTTCCTTCGACATAACACTGAGGACCCTTGGTCTTAGCCGGCTTAGGTGTGGTCTTGTTTGCTGAGACCGTGGTCGCATAAATTTTCTGGAAAGTAGTCGTCGACTTCGGGAGAGGCGATTTTCGTTAATCATCAATCGTGGTGGACTGCAAATGCGTGGTTGGTGTTAATGGAATTCCCGCCGATGAACTGAACGGCGCCACCGGGGGACGCACATCCCGCTTTTACTTGTTCGCGCCAGGGTCGAAACACTTGTTTACCGGTGGACCGTTGCCGCGAGTAGTATCGTTACGGGGGACCTGGGATCCCACGATTCGAGACGCCGTGGTATCGTCCGAATGAGCAGCACGAGGAGGTGCCTACGACAACTTACTCATTAGAAGAGCCTTGTCGCCATCCGCATTCAATCTCGCCGTGGTCGCCACCAAAGATTTTGCCAGTTCCGATACATGCTGCATGCGACCGGCAACTTCCAAGTGGGTAAAGTCAACCCACTAACGTGAGGTCGAGCAATTGGTGCACCGGTGAACTCGAGGTGATGCTGAACGTGATAAGCGCCTTTGCGTCCGCCGCACTTGGAACTCGAGTGATAAGGCGAGTAGCAAATACAGCATAGAACGCGTTGGAAGTAACGAGAATGGTAGAGGAAGATCTCCGTGTTGGAGGTTGAGATGTGTGTAACCCGCTTGAGTTGTTCCGGACATGACACCGCGTCGAAAGTCGCCACAAAAAAATTCGAATCATACACCTCAGAGCCGTATGAGCATCCAAGAGTGACAGATGTCACCGTACAGGAAACACTGGATCCCAAATAGCTTGAACAAAGCTTGCTGCCACTCCATTGACTAAGAACCGGACTTTATTGTGCAAGCGATGGCTACCGAGCGACGTTGCAGGTAGCAATGGAGTGGTAATTTCGTTGCTCTCCAGTGTAGCTGGACACAACATCTAAAGACACTTAGCGCGAAACAGAATTGTCTTGTTATGCCGGATCGCAGCAGCCGCTTGATCTGGCATAATAAAAAAAGTCAGGCGCCTCGTTTCGGCGTCCTAACTTGTCCGCTTGGCACCCTTGACCAGTTCCAGACTCATGACATTGGGCTCCGTTTCGCCCTCGAGTCGTTCAAAGAGTTGTAGAGGCAACGTCTTCTCCAAGATGTAGTGAGGCATTCGCACATACGGAGGAACAATCGCAGTAACCCCGCCTTCGAGGTACGCTTCGAGAACATTAAGCATCACTACCCTTGTAGCCCATGGGTGCGTGCAGACCATAAGTCCAGGCGGACAAGGCAATACGATTCCCCCCCATAATCCATGCCGAAAGACCTCTTTCTCAAGCAGAATAATTGGACGCAGATCATCGTTTCGGCCTCTCAACTCACGCTCTCGTGGCCGCGCGGATCAGATCTGACATGTGATCCTGAGGTGCATCGGTCCCAGCAACGACATCGGCGGAGAACGGGCGTTCTACATTGATCGAGGTAGCTCGGTGTGCGTCGGTAGGGTCAGTTCGGTGGAGGTCGTTAAGGTCCGGTCGCCAATTTTTGCCCGAGTCCGGTCGGTCAAATTTGACCGAGTACGGTCGGCGAATGTCGTCAAAATTAGGTCGGCGAACGTCGCTAACCTCACTGACAGCATCAGTGTGAGCGTTTCAAAGACCTATCGCCTTAATAACGACGTCGGGTCGGCCGTGTCATGACCTTACTCGACAACGCCGAGGCTCACAGGCATACTGCCGCCGCCCCCGTAATCCATCCCTCGATCCTCGCAGAAACTGGGAAGGTGACAGCGCTTGACGGGCGTGCTGCGTCGCACCGTGAGCTATGGAGCAGAAATGCTTATCTCGCTGCCGTCGGCCGGTCGCATTGATGGTGGCACACTTCCACGTTCCAACGGTACAACTTTCGTATAAAGCGCAAATAGGGAAGTCCGAGCCTTTATCATGCCATATCTCTTGCCATAGCTATAGCCGTCTACATAGCTGTAGTAGTCGTCACCAAAGCCTTTGCCATAGCCCTTTCCGTAGACGGAGTAGTCGTCACCGTAGCCTTTGCCATACCCTTTGCCATAGCTGTAGTAGTCGTCGCCGTATCCCTTGCCATAGCCGTAGTAGTCGTTGCCGGATGCTTTGCCATAGTAGTCCTTGTCGTGGCCATATCCCTTGTAGTCGTGCTTGTCGTAGCCGTAGCTGTAGTCAGCACCATAGCCCTTGTAGTCCTTTTTGCCATGGTCATAGTCCTTATGCTCGTAGTGGTCGTGCCCATAGTCGTTGTGCTTGTAGGCATCGTGACCGTAGTCGTCGTGGCCGTAGTCGTCGTGACCGTAGCTATAGTCCGACGAAGACTCCGTCGCCTTGGCGTCTTCGAGCCGACGGCGATAGTGCGAGTGACCTTTGTCGTTGTCGTGGACGTGCTTCTTGTGGTGGTCGTGCTTGTGCGAATGGTGTCCGTGCTCGTGATCCTTGTAGTCGCCTAGCTGGCGACGCGAAAGAATCCCAGTCGAAGCACCACGGGCGTCGGTAGTCTGCAGAACCGAGGCGGCGACGCACAGACTGGACACGGCGAGCAGCTTGGCGTGCATCTTGGGGGTCTTGATTGGAACGCGAAGGTCAATGGGGTGTCGGGGAATCGGTGGTCGGGTGGTCGGAGGTCGATCGATCGATCTTACGGCTGTTGTGTGTGTGCCGATGCAAGAAAGCTCAAAAGTGAGAGAGCAAGAAGTTGTCCCGGATGCAGCGTGTCGAGGACGTAGACTAGCAGGTAACCTCTCAGTCGAGAGACTACCTGCACTAGTAGACGATGGACACGATGCCGAACAGCAATCAGCCACCGTAAACACAAAGGTCATTATGCTGGACCGTTGCGAAACAGCGCATTTGTAAGCACCTATGGCCTAACTATGCCTCCGGCGACGCTGGCATGTTTATTGGTGTTGTGTTGTGACAACAGATTGCGGTGGACGATAACTGAAAAAAGGTGCATCCGATCCCTCTGGAGCTTACTTATATTTGCTTGAGGAAAGACTCACACGGTGGAACAACGGTCACAGCTCGCCAGTGCGATCGCCGTTCTTAAAATAAGGTGTTTAGCTCGGCACCGTGAACCCCCTCACGCCGTGGTTACCAGGCCGCTTAGCTCAATAATGGACTTTGAATGGGGCGTCCGTGATGAAAAGCGGTCCAGTCTGTGTGTCCCTCTTGAGATAGCTTCTTTACCAATCCAGAAGAGGGGTCTAGTGGTGCCTCGCATTCGAACGAAATTGATGGCTATGGAAGCTACGGCAGTTGAAAAATGGGCAGCTACTCTTTCTTCGAGGAACTTACTACTTGGTGATTACTTGTGGGGATCGAACGGGTCCGGTCCGGCTTACATCAGGCCTTGTTGGACTGAAGACAAGCATCCTCGATATCGAGCGACTCTATGGCAAACCGGGTCCGACATTGTTGGAATGTTTGCGGCTCGGCACGCTCGCCAAGGCGCGGTCAGGGAAGTCTGCAGACGTGCCGTCTCTTTTACATCGATAGCTGCAGTAGCCTACAATGACGACGGTAGTGTCAAAATTGATGTTCGGCGGGTGTTTGATGATCGCCTGCGCGCCGGGGTGCGTGCTGAAGTTGCGGCGTCAGGGCGATTTGATCACCGATGGCTTGTCCACGCCACGCTCAAGGATACGTCGTGGCTGCGAAATCGACGGGGTACGGCTTACACATTGAACGGAGCCGACTTTGCCATGGGTTTGAGCTACCTTGGTGAGGCAATGTCTTGGGCGACTTTGCAGACTGTCATTGTCTTGTTCTCTCGCACGCGTGACATAGTGTCCCAGTCTATGGCGAAGAGACGGCATCTCGGGTCCTTCTGCCTCGCACTTCTTTACAATTTCCCGTCTCTGGTCTATCGGGCGATGAAACCTGGGTCCCTAATTTCGTACTCAACGAAGGTGCACCAATTCCAAGACTGGCTTCTCACTCGTGAAGGTACATCTCTCCTGCATTTCGATACGGGTATGGAATGTGGGTTGCAACCCGTCTCGTCGATGACGGCGTGCGATATCTCCGTGTCCTCATCCAGTGGGACTCCTGTCCACTTTGGCGCGCATCCGGTGCTCACGCGGGTTGTCCACCTGTGGGCCGGTCGTCGACGGTGGCGGCCACATCGAAAGAAACTCAAACAGCTTATCTCCCGGTGGCGCTAAATTGAAGGAACTAGACTTCTCGAGAAACGGGTTGCAAAGGCGGACTTTCACGTTATATCGGAAGGTTCACCATTAATCACGTGGAGAAACATTCGACGAATTTGTGCGTCCTTTCCGACCAACTCTCAGACGCTATATCGGCTAAAGAGTAACAGTTTCCCGCTCTGGAATTGGTCGAAGCAAGATCTGTTGGTACCCGTCCCTGAGTGTGCGGATGCTGGCCCATCTCTGGTAAGCCATATCTTTTGGACATGCCCTAGCGCGCGCCGACACTGGGAATATCTCCTTGATCGGTGGCGATGGCTTCGTACGTTCCCAGAGGATGGCTTGCATGTCTGGTTGTTTGGACCGGACCTACCGGGGATTCCGCCCAACGCCTGGGACGTTGTCAAGCAATCTATGAACACAGGCACTGATTTCTTATGAGCTCAGGCTGAGGTCTCCCCGGCAGCTTGAGAGCTGTGACGTTTTGTCGTATCAACGACGCTACATGCCATCTGGGTCGAGCGCCTCCGCCGCATGGAAGACCCATATCTATCACAGGATGTTCACACAGCTAGGGCCAGGACTATCTTTCGCCGGTCGGTTTGAAGGTTTCTTGGATCAACATACCAGCCCGACATGGAGGAGGACGGGCAACTGTTTGCGCAGGTACGGTCGGCCTTGGCTGATACCCTCCTCTGCTACGACGACCCTTTATTGCTGCACGTACGACCAATCGAACGGTGCCCAGGAGTGCTCTACCTCCTCTTTTTCGATGGAGGATCCCGCGGAAATACAGTTCCAGGCGGAGCTGGATCTGTTATTGTCCGACTCCACGTTCCGACGCACGCCGCATGCGTTTTTTGGGGTAGCGAGCGTGGTCTATGCCGCTGCCGATACTACTAACAATACCGCCGAATACTGGGGGCTCGTCCACGGTCTTCGGCGAGCAAAGGCCAGCGACTACTTACCCCTGTATGTCATTGGGGACAGTGTCCTTGTGCTTGCGCAACTCCGGACACGATATCCTCCACGCAAGCAACACTTGGTGCAGTTATTCACCGAAGCAAGCGCCATCGCTAACGATATCCATGTCTCCAGCCGGGGACATCATTATCGGACCTAAAACATAATGGCGGATCGACTGGCGAATATCGCTATGGACATAGAAGCTTCGGTTCACGCCCACGCTTCTTCTAATCCCGGTCTAGTCCAGGAAGCCATGGCCTTCCTTGATTCTGATGTCAATCAATGGTTGGAGACCTCTCAGGCCGAACAATAGGTCATACAGGTCCCCGTACAGAAACCGAGGACCCTGATCATCTCGCAACAGGAGTCTGCGCGCAGGCGTTCCGATGTTCGAGACCTAGTGCTACCTAGTATATAAAGTAGCAGTCACCCCGGTAACCTTGTTGCCGGGTGCCGGGATATAGTAGGTCGTAAGCGTTGTTATGTCGGAGGAAAATTGGAAAGTGTATTGAATTAGTTTTCCTATGAACTTACTCGTCGTGTTATCTTCTTCTATCTTGTAGCTTTCCCTGATCTTGATGGATTCTAGAACATACACTCAAGGTAGTTCTAGAATCATCAGACTGCACGTGAACCGTTTACACCCTGTCGTATCATCGCTGTCTTGTCACTTGTGCGTAGCATATCACAGTTGGCTTTGTTGACCGTGCATTGACAGTGCACCCATCAACACTCCCACTCACTGTTGATGCTCGGGTCCATCACGTACCTTGATGTCCATTCCGGCACGGAGGTACTGGAATCGCTTGGTGCCGAGTGCCTTCGTTAGTATGTCGGCAAGTTGATGTTCCGTCTCCTTGTAGATCACCTTTATATCACCGGCCAGAACTTTCTCTCGGACAAAGTGGTGACGTATGTCTACGTGTTTAGTCCGCGCATGGTATCCTGGGTTTGTTGCGAGAGCAATGGCTCCTTGATTATCCTCGTAGATGACAGTAGGATTCTTCTGCTCGAATCCGAGGTCAGCCATTAACATCCTTGCCCATAGTATGTCTTGAGTGCACATGCTTAGCGACATGTATTCAGCCTCAGAAGTACTCAATGCAACGGTGCGTTGGTACTTAGACTTAAATATAACAGGGCCTCCATTAAGCACCAGCAAAACACCAGATACCGATCGACGGTCGTCCAAGCTGTTTCCCCAATCGGCGTCACTATACGCTGTTAGTTGTTGCTGTAGTTTGTCAACACTGTAGTGTAATCCAAAACCACTCGTCGAGCGGAGGTATCTTAGCACTTTGATCAGTGCCTTCCAGTGTTGTGAGCCAGGGTTTTCTGCAAATCGTCCAAGTTGGCTCACAGGAAATGCTGCGTCTGGTCTGGTCGTGGTCACTATAAACAGCAGTCGTCCCAGCAATTGGCGGTACGGTGTACGACTCATGGCTTGTCTTTCGACATCGGACTTTGGACTGTTTGCGCTGGACAGTTTCATGCTCTGATCACATGGGTTACCAGTTGGTCGGGCTTGAGTCTGTCCAAACATGTCTGCAGTCTCCTCGATGTATCTTTGTTGCGAAATAAACATCTCACGCTTCTTTCGGTCGTACATAACTTCCATTCCAAGCAAGTGCTTCACTGGACCAAGGTCTTTGGTTTGAAACCGCTGAGAGATTTGTTCTTTCACCTTGCGTACCGTGGTTGCTTCTTTTGCAGCCACAATCATATCATCAACGTATAAGCACACGTACGCCCAGCCTTCACCATCCTTTATCTTGTATATGCATCGATCAGCACCGCACGCGACAAATCCCATCTCCAGTAATGCATTGTGAATCGTCTTATTCCAGGCATTTGCAGCCTGCTTAAGTCCGTAAAGCGCGCGATTCAATTTAAGTACAAACTCGCTGCCAATTTTCATCCCTTTGGGTGGTAACAAGTATACTTCTTCTTGTAGGTCGGCATTCAGGTAGGCCGTATCAACATCAAGCTGGTCGATCACATATCCTGCTGCGCAGCAAATCGACAATAGCATCCTGATGGAGTTCATACTGGCGACAGCCGCGTACGTCTCGAAAAAGTTGATACCATATTGTTGCAGGAATCCGAGCGCCACAAGTCGTGCTTTGTATCGACCATCACTCTTTTTAGCCCATACCCACTTCGATCCAATTGGTTTCATTCCAGGCTTGCGTACAATTGGTGTCCACGTCTTGTTACGCTCATGAGCCGCAAATTCATTCTCAATAGCTTTAATCCATTGGTATCTGTCAGGTCCATTCACTGCCTCCGCATAAGAGCCAGGTAAATCACGAGCTATCATGGCAACTTCTGCTATCAATGCCACATCGCTGTTTATTCGCGATCGCTTGGAAGGAGGTTCGTCATCTTCACTCCCACTGGCTTCATGGTTTTCATTGTATGGCACAATGCTGTTTTCT